ATATTTAACACTACTGAACTATATACTTAAAAATAGTTTAGCAAATTTTATGTGTATTTTACCACAATCGAAAAAAAGCCTGTGGTAGTGTTACTGGGCACTGTGGCTCATGCCTGCCATCCTAACACTCTGGGAGGCTGAGGTGGGAGGACTCCTTGAGGTTGGGAGTTCGAGACCAGCCTGAGCAAGAATGAGACCCTGTTTCTACAAAAAATAGAAAAATTAGCTGAGAATGGTGGCACATGCCTGGAGTCTCAGCTACTTGGGAGACTGATGCAGGAGGATCACTTGAGCCCAGGAATTTGAGGTTGCAGTGAGCTATGATGTCACTATACTCTAGCTGGGGCAACATAAAAAAGGGCATATTCCTATTGTGATACAATATGAAGCACACGGCATCATCTATGAAGTGTCTGTCTTGCCAGACATATTTCACCTGAACCAGAACAAGCCTTTAGATTTACCTTGAGGAACATAGAAAATGATATCATGAGGAAACCTTAGATAAGCACAAAATGTGGGGCATTCTAGAGACAACTGGCTTAGTCTTTTCAAAAATTCAATATCTAAAAAAAAAGGTTGGGAGAACCATTCTAGTACACAAGAGATTACTGAGACATAAGCAAATGCAGTGACTGAACTTTGATTGGATTTTGGTTCCAAAAAACCACAAAGACATTTGGGTAGCAAATTAGGGAAGCCTAAATATAAGCTGGATAAGTGATGACATGAGGAAATTAATTTTCTTCGTTGTGATAATGGAATAGTGGTAATATAGGAAATGATTTTAGGAGATGAATGCTGAAGCACTTAGGGGTAAAATGTCATTAAGTCTGCAATTTATTTTCAAATGATTATGTGAAACACATATTTGCAAATTTTCACAATAAAAACTTGGAAAGAGGGGAAAGCATAAGAAAAAATATAAAAAAATATAAACAATATAATTGTGATTGCCTCTGAGAAGTACACTAGGTAGAGCTAAGGTAAAGGGAGAGTCTTCTTTGTATTATATATCCTTTGGGATTTTTTGAATTTTATACCATGTGCATGTATCAACTATTCAAATAAATAAGGTTTTCTTTTTTTTTTTGAGACAGAGTCTCACTTTGTTGCCCAGGCTAGAGTGAGTGCCGTGGAGTCAGCCTCACTCACAGCAACCTCAAACTCCTGGGCTCAAGTGATCCTGCTGCCTCAGCCTCCCGAGTAGCTGGGACTACAGGCATGTGCCACCATGCCCGGCTAATTTTTTGTATATATATTTTTAGTTGGTCAATTAATTTCTTTCTATTTACAGTAGAGACAGGGTCTCGCTCTTGCTCAGGCTGGTTTCGAACTCCTGACCTTGAGCTATCTGCCCGCCTCAGCCTCCCAGAGTGCTAGGATTACAGGCGTGAGACACCGCACCCGGCCATAAATAAAGTTTTTAACATTAAGAATAGCTATCTTGGCCAGGCACAGTGGCTCACGCCTGTAATCCTAGCACTCTGAGAGGCTGACGCGGGCAGATAGCTCAAGGTCGGGAGTTCAAAACCAGCCTGAGCAAGAGCGAGACCCTGTCTCTACTGTAAATAGAAAGAAATTAATTGGCCAACTAATAGATATAGAAAAAATTAGCCGGGCATGCTGGCGCATGCCTGTAGTCCCAGCTACTGGGGAGGCTGAGGCAGCAGGATCACTTGAGCCCAGGAGTTTGAGGTTGCTGTGAGCTAGGCTGATGCCACGGCACTCACTCTAGCCTGGGCAACAAGGCGAGACTCTGTCTCAAAAAAAAAAAAAAAAAAAAAAAAAGACAAGAATAGCTATCTTTTCAGTAGTGGAGTTACAGTTTTTACTATCTTCATTTTAGAATCTGAAAAAAAGACACAGTAATGATGAACAGTTTAATCTCTATAAATTCTATCTCAAGATTCTCCCTAAATATGTTCTACATGCCTTTCTACTCTACCTTAAAAATGGCAGCCCAGCCCAGGTGTGGTGGTTCATACCTGTAATCCCAGCACTTTGGGAGGCAGAGGCCTTGCTCAAGGCAAGAAGTTTGATACCAGCCTGGGCAACATAGTGAGACCCTGTCTCTACAAAAAATATAAAAATCAGCCAAGTGTGATGGCATACGCCTATAGTCCGAGCTACTCAGAAGGCTTAGGCAGAAGGATCCCTTGAGCCCTTGATCACTTTGAGGTTGCAGTGAACTATGATGAGGGGAGAGAGGGAGAGCGGAGAGGGAGACCCCATCTACAAAAAAAAAAAAAAAAAGCCCAAGTCAAAGTCCTTCCCTGGAGGCAATATAAGACTGCGATTAAGAGCTTGGGCTCTAGTCCAACAGATCATATCCCAATCTTAATTCACTACTTCTTAGCTGAGCTTCCATTCCCTTGCCCAGTAAAAAAATTGAAAAACTGCAACTAATAAGTCTAAAAAAATGTATGGCACGTTAACTCTATGTTGGAGTGGCAGAAGCACCAGCTTTGAAGTATGACAGGTATGAGTTCTGATCCTGACTCTGAGAACCATGGACAAGTTATCACAACTCTGTGCCTCAGTTTCCTCATGTATAAAACAAAGCTAATGGTATTTCCCTCCTATGATCATTGTGAGAATGTAAATGTAAGGGGTTCTAATAAATAAAGTACTTGATACACAGTAAATACTCAATAAATGAGTACTATCCTATCCTAATACTCTTAGCTCCCTCAGTGCAGCAGGACTTTTAGGTATCAATTTCCACCCTTTGGGCTTCTCCTATGATCTCCAGGGATGACAAGAATATCTCACAACCACAGGCCTCTCTACTCACAATCATTCAATATTGTAAACATTTTTATAATATATATTTTGGGCTGAACACAAATAAAACGTTTCAAGGAATGTCTTCTTTAGGATACTCACAGATCAGTGATGAAGATACAAAAACATACGCCATGAATACAAGACAGAAGAAAAAAAACATTAATGTGTACTAAGTGTCTACTGTGTGCTAGAGAAGAGGAATTCACTGAGAGGAATCAAGGAATGCCATGTAGAGGTGGGCCTTGAAGAATGGGGGTAGGGGTGGGGGAGCAGCGCAAGCGAGAGATGTCAGGCCATGAGCCTTTTCAGAACAGCTGGGTATACAAATCTACCAATGCAGAGGGGATTGAATGCCAAGAGGTTCATCCTGGCTGTTTCCTCAGGGGCCACTACACCAAATCCTAAGAAACTGGGTGGATCCCAAGCATTAGCACTCCAGGCCAATGGTTCTCAAATGAATTGGGAGGGAGGAGCGATTTTGTTCCACCTCCTCAAACTTTTGGTAATGTCTGGAGACATTTTTGAGTGTCATACCTGGGGAATGGGGATACTATTGTCATCTAGTGAGTAGAAGGCAAGGATGATGCTGAATATCCTACAATGCACAGGGCAGATCCCACAGCAAAGAATTATCTCAGTGGAAAAACCCTGCTCTAAGCAGACAGCCAAACCCAGGTACGACTCCAGGGAAGGTATTCAGAATGAGCTACCTCAGCAAGGGCAGCCTCTCAGGCTAGGAAATGATTCAGCTATCAACAGAACACTTATGGGCTGGAAGAACACAGCAGGATTCCAAATGGACCACTTCTGGGGGCAGAAGACAGGAATCCACGGTGTATCATTTAGAGATGGAGAGTTAAGACATGACATAGAGGCTTTATCTAATCATCCATTCTAAAGACACCACCCAAGTCACTCTATCACATCAACCTGTCTCATGTCCTGAATAGCATTTATGACAGCTTAAAATTATCTTATTTTCTCCTTCTTTATATTCTCTCCCTCTGGAATGTAAGTTCCCTGTAAGCATAGACTTGGCTTATTCTATTCTCCACTGTTTCCACAACTTGAAATTGAACAACTGATAAACAATAAGCATTCAGGCTGGGTGTGGTGGCTCACGCCTGTAATCCTAGCACTCTGGGAGGTCGAGGCAGGCGGATTGCTCGAGGTCAGGAGTTTGAAACCAGCCTGAGCAAGAGCGAGACCCCGTCTCTACTATAAATAGAAAGAAATTAATTGGCCAACTAATATATACGGAAAAAAGCAGTCGGGCATGGTGGCGCATGCCTGTAGTCCCAACTACTCGGGAGGCTGAGGCAGTAGAATTGCTCATTCTAGCCTGGGCAACAAAGCGAGACTCTGTCTCAAAAAAAAAAAATAAAAATAAAAATAAAAACAATAAGCATTCAACAAATCTGTTAAGCAAATGAGTTCTGACTTTTGACGGTTTCGGAGGTAGGAAAAGGGCGAATTCGAGGCAACTACCTCTTAGATGGGGGATGAGGGTGGGGATCGAGACGTCAAGCACTCTGAAGACACCAGCGCTGAGCTCGAAATTCAAAAGAGCCGCCTCGGGAGAAGAGTAAAAAGGAACAAATTGGAGCGTACCAATACGAGGCGGGTGGGGGCGCTAGGCTGAAGCACAAGTGTACAGTTTGGGACCGGAGGCCACAGGAGAGCTAGCAGCCGTCCCACATTTTCCGGAGGGAGTCAAACAAGGCTGGGAGGCCGGATCCATGCGGTCCGGCAGATAGCCGTGCGGCGGGCGGCTGGCTGACCGCAGGCTGACTGGCTGGCAGCCGGCTCCGACGCGCCTCCTTTGGCGGGAGGGGGCAGTGGGCGGGGTAACGTACAGTTCGGCCCGTACCAAGTGGCTGGAACGGGGGTCGCGCAAAGTGTGGGCAACTGACACCTGGAAGAGGTTTGAGTTAGAGCGACCGCGCAGGGAGAGCGGGTTCGAGCCGAACCCCCTCAGCAGGGGCAAGGAACCCATAGGGATTTGCGACGTTTCAGGTTGCACGGGCTGGACCGTACTACTCTGGGGCCGGATAGGGGGTCCAAGCCGGGACGGGCGCAGGGCCGAAGCCGGGTTTATCTCACCAGAGCCATTGGGTCCAATGATGGCGGTGAACCTCTGAAATGGTCCGATAATCTGTCGACCCTTGTACGATTTAAAGTTCTCGATCTCAATCAATTTCAGGAAACCCATGACGGCTGCAGCGCCGACGGCGCTAGGTAAGGCCGCACCGTACGCCCAGGAACTGAGCTATTCCGCGCGCGAAATGCCGCAGTGCAGGCCGGGCGGATGGCAAACTTCGCGAGAATACGTCCAGGCCAAACGGCATTTCCAGCTTCCGGCACGGCGGGAATCAGGGGCGGGGACTTCGGTCTGGCGTAGGGGTTCTATCGATCCGTTTACGGGGCGCGAGTTTACGCCGGGCGTCTAGGCCCCGCCCCCCTTTCTCGTTGCTTGGCAACAGCTAACGGCTGCTACAGCGGACCAAGTTGTAGAGGAGTTTGGTGTTGGGAGAATTCAGAGCAGCTTTTGGGATCCAAAGAGGCAAGCTTACGCTTGCTGAGACGAGTCTGAAGTCACAGCAGGGATATGCCCTTGAGGGCAAGAGGAAGGTGGGAGCTTGACTGTGGCTTTAGCTTGGCCGGCCTACAAGGCTCGGACAAGGACAGGGTTGGGAATTGGAAGGACCCCGGGGAGCTGAGGGCTGGGCAGGAAGGAGGGGCAGCAGGAGGATTCAGTGTTATCATAGATGAGCTCAGACTTTGCTAATGGTGGGTTGGGATTGGAGGCGAGATGGGATGTGAAGGAGAATGGGGTGTGGATGGACCCAGGAGTACTCCCAGGTGACAGGGATACAGGCTGGGACAGGCTAGGGCAGGCTAGGGCCTGAGGTATTACCCTTATCCCCTGCCTCCCTCCTGTTGCTCCAAGCAGAGTTCAGAAACTGCCGCTGTAACCCAAGAACAGACTTGAACCCAAATCCAACCTAGGAGCTTCAAAATCAGGATTTCTAACTGAGAAAGGTATTTTGTGTGAACTCCCAGGAGTCAGGATCCCTAAGCCAGTGCTCTCCACCTCCATCTCCCCTCTCCCTTCCTGCATCTCCCTTATCTCATTCCCATCACTCTGTACTCCTCTGCCATTGTCCCTCTTTTCCCCCTTTCTCTTCCTTCTCTGCTCTGTCCTCCACCTCCTCACCCCTTTGTTGTCCTATCTTCCTCTGCACCACTGTTGCTCTCCACTCTGTTCCCTACCTGTTCTGTTCCTCTCCTCCACCCCTCATTCCCATACTATCACCTTATACCTGCTCATTACTAAGGCCTGTAAGCAGTCCAAGAAGCTTAAAATGTCTGCTGAATTTTCCCCTTCATTGACCTTATAGTGGCAGTTGGAGCCTGTAGGCTGAGGTTGGTGCTATTATCAGACTTAGACATGAAGAGGATCTGGTGGTTGCCATAGCCATTCCTGTAACTATTTCAAAACTTATGACTATTAAGATTCAGGGGCCTGCTAAAAAAGAAGAAAAATAGGCTGGGCGCGGTGGCTCACGCCTGTAATCCTAGCCGAGGTGGGCGGATTGCTCGAGGTCAGGAGTTTGAAACCAGCCTGAGCAAGAGCGAGACCCCCGTCTCTACTATTAATAGAAAGAAATTAATTGGCCAACTAATAGATATAGAAAAAAAATTAGCCGGGCATGGTGGGGCATGCCTGTAGTCCCAGCTACTTGGGAGGCTGAGGCAGGAGGATCACCTGAGCCCAGGAGTTTGAGGTTGCTGTGAGCTAGGCTGACGCCACGGCACTCACTCTAGCCTGGGCAAGGTTGGACCAGGTTTATTTTGAAAGAAGGAGGGAAAGGAAGGATTAAAGGATGCTCTTAGGTGTTTGGCCTGACGAGCTTTGTGAAGATGTAGTGCCATTTACTGAAATGAATAAATATGAGTACAGCATAATGAACAAAGGGTGTTGTAAATGTGTTTGAGGCTTAGAAAGGTGAGTAGGTGTCAGATCATGAAGAAACCTTATAATTGGCAAAGGAGGTTGGACCTTATCTTGTAAGCCACTGGCGAGCCATTTGCTTTAAAGCTGCTTTTAAGGTTTTAAGCTGAGGAGTGCCATGGTCACATTTGCTTCCAGAAAGATCACTCTGGTAGCCAGTGCAGACTGGGTAACACTGGAACAAGAGAGCCCAGTGAGGCTTCCTGGGAATATTGTCTGACACCAGAATGTGAGGCCTGATTAAGGTGGATGACAGCAGAGATGGAGGACACAAAGATGAAAATATATCAGAATTAAAGTCATTAGGAATCAATAATGTGAGATATTATAGGGGAAAGAAAGGGGAAGGGTGTAGTCAAGGATGGTGGTCATGGCCAGGTGTGGTGTCTCATGCCTATAATCTTAGCACTCTGGGCAGGAGGATCGCTTGAGCTCAGGAGTTCGAGACCAGTTTTGAGCAAGACGAGACCCGACTCTACTAAAAACTAGAAAAATATAGCCAGGCAATAAAAAATAGAAAAATAGCTGGGCATGGTGGCATGTACGCTGTATTTCCAGCTACTCAGAAGGCCTGAGGCAGGAGGATTGCTTGAGCCCAGGATTTGAGGTTTTGTAAGGTAGGTTGACGCCATGGCACTCTAGCCTAGGCGACAGAGCAAGACTGTCTCAAAAAAAAAAAAAAGGATGGTGAGTCGGTACTGATGGCATTCTACCTCCCCCTTTGCTCCAGATGTATAGGGTGACCTGTCATTAGATCCCAAGGAGGCAGCAGCCATCGAGGCTAGAAGAAATCGAGAAATGGAGCGGCAAAGACGATCTTCAATGTGCGGAACCGAGTCATGGGGGGGTGTGGCTAGTGGCAGTGAGACTATCGCTCAGGACCGGCTACCTCACTGTTACACCTGGAGAGGAACATAGCAGTGGCTGTTATAGCCCTTCCCCTGATTCAAACAGGCTCTACAGCTGGAAAGAAGGAGACTGAAAGAAGGCTTCCACTCTACAGGCCTGAGAAAGGCTCAAGAAGAGGGATGAAGTGTGCAGGGGAAGAGACTCAGGGTGACAGCTCGCTCTTCTTTGGTCAATCCAGACCATGTGGCCTGGTTCTTGAGAGACAGGCAAGTATGGAGCCAGAAGAAGCCTAAAGAATTATTTGGTATTTACGTGTACCTAACTATCTCTGCAAGGCTACAGAAATGCTAACCAGGTGGAGGGACAGAGATGGAAGGGACACTTAGCCTCATTAAACTATTCCTTTTGTACTATTTTGAAATGTTTTAAATGAATTATAATCAAAATAGAGAAAATATTGATAGTTTAAGAAACAAACAAGAAAGATTAATTCATATCCATATTTTTCTACAGGAAAAAAAAGAAAGATTGCTGGGTAGGTGGATAGAGGGATGCAACATGGTTATTCTGGAAAAAACACCATACCTGTTAAACAGGTCTGCCGATTGTTAAATTGTGTGGCTTTGGATAAATCACCTGTTTTTCTGAGCTCCAGGCTCCTGCTCTGTACAAATGAGGCTAAATAAAGCAAGTGATGAGGTGTTTAATATAGTGGCAGCTCTGAAAACCAGAGCATAGTGCCTGACATGAGTTATTGCAGAGTGAGTGGTCTGATTGAATGCACGTGGCAAGTGTTTCCTCGGGTCCTGCTCTGTGCCAAGCAGTGCGTTGGGCAGTAGGGATACATGCATGACTAAGGCCCAGTCTTGGCCTGAAAGGGCTCAGTCTGGTGGAGGAGAAAATAGAGACAGCAACTTCAATATAAAGTGGACAATGGGTCCTAGATTCTATGGGAGTAAACATGCCTGAGCTGGTCTTGATGAATTAGAAGCAGAGGCTAGACCATGGAAGGGCATACAAACCATGTTGAGGCGTTGGAAATTTATCCAGTAGGTACTGGGCGCTACAGGAGAATTTTGAAGTGAGTATAAATCTAAGCAGTTTGTGTTAGAGCATTCAAGGCCCTTTGCTGGCCCCCTACCCTGACTTAGCTCCTTTCTTTGGAATCAGGTGGATGTCGATGCCTGAACAAACAGGTGGAAGAACAAAGCTTCGGGAGGCAACAGAGCGAGCATGGAGGCAGCTTATGGTAAAAGTCCAAGGCCAGGGGCCAAGGGGTAAAGTGAGAGCCTGAGTGGGATGAGGTAGGCATTCTGCGTCTGAGCGGGGCCCAAAGCCCTGGGGAAGTGGGACAACTGGTGGACTTGAGAGCCAAGGCCATGCTAAGTGGCTCTGCCCTTCTTTGTACCTTCTCCATGTTCCTGCCTACCACTCCAGGTGCCAACCAGTGCAGTATGACCTGGTAGCCCAGATGCTAGAGGAGGAACAGGCAGAAACGGACACGCCGGCTGGCCAGAAAAGTCCAGGAGTTTCGGGAGCAGAAGCAGCAGCTCAAGAACAGGCGTGAATTTGACCTTTGGGATCCAGACCAACTCTGGAAGGAGTTTCCAGCTGATCTCAATAACAATGATCCTTACTGTGGCCCAGCCAGCTTCAGTGCTTCTTGGGAGGACCTAGACAGGACACGTGCCTGAGAATGGCAGCAGGAGCAGTTCAGGTACAGCCTAGAGAGGCAGCAACAGGAGGCAACAGCAAGCCAGGGGTGATGAGAAGTATGCAGGTAAGCAGCCCGGCCCTCCAGGCTTAGAAGCCGGAGCCTAGTGGGAACTGTCCTGAGCTCGGTACGGTACAGCAGCCAAGAGACCAGAACTGTGTGGGAAGGTCCAATTACCATAGGGCTGATGCTGAAAGTTTAGGCTATACAGACCAACCTCCCCTGACTTCCTTCAGTTAACTTGATAGTGTAGCCATTGTTCTGATTAACCTGGAGGCAGCACAGTACAGACACACCTAACAGCTCTGCTGCTTACTAGCTGATTTGTGGCAAATGAGTTTTCCTCTGTGCTTCAGTTTCTTTATCTTTAAATGGAGTAACAATCCATACCACATAGAGTAGCTACTATTATTATGATTTTGTCTATGACTACATCCTTCTCTTCCTTAGAGGAAGCCCTTCAAGGGCAAGGACCATGTCTCATCTACTTGCACTGCTCATCTTTCAATCAATGTTACAACACCTGTTCTCTTAGACCACTTACTATAGTTGAACATAACTATGAAGTATTTAATGTCTGTCTTCTCCCCAAATATCAGCTGACTGAAGATGAACCATCTCTCTCATGTCCACTCCATCTTGCAATTGCTTAGTACATCATCTGTCACAAGTGTCTGACAGGTCCTAGAAAAACAAGGAGCTCAGTGTGGCTGGAGTGGAAAAAAATGTCAGACTTTGCTGGCTGTGCCCCAGCTTGGAATGCTCTTTGCTTTTTAGCCTGTATACAAAATGTATTTCAAGGATCACCTCCTCCTAGCAGCCTTCCTCCCTCCACCACCCAAGCCCTCAAAATGCCTGTACATGTCTCTGCCATTATTCTTGCCAAATTGTGGTCTGATTATCTATGTTTGATCTGTCTCCCCCACTAGACAGGGATTCTCTGAGGATAGGACCTAATCCCATGGTATCCTTAGAACTAACACATGGCCTTAGACTGAGGCTTAGAGATATGAAATTAAGTCCACACAGCTCAGAAGTGGCAGAGCTAACATTGGGGCCTAGGTCTATTGGAGGCTCCTTTCATTAGGCAAGGTTTCAATGAGGAACCCTTGTTGTTGTACTTTGGCTATCTCTAGCCCAAAGAGTAGCTCTTCACATCCTACAATTCAGACACTATCTGCCTCCTAAACATACACACACACAAAACTTGTTGAACAAATGGCTGAATGAATGAACCAGGAATGGAGCAAGCCAGTATGGTGCCCCAGCATATTTCTTTGTGTAGATATGCTCATGACCAGCTGCGCCTAGCCATGACATGAGGCCACCCAGCTGGCCAAGGTGGAGGATCCTGTCGCATAGCCATGATGTCTACTATGGTCAATATCAACAAAGCCCAGGTTATGGCCTGAGCCATCCAGTACACCAGGCTCTCTCCAACCCTGACCAAGTCCTGGGGACCTCAGCACATCATTCCTCTCACAATCCCTTCTCAAGTCAGCACAGCGCCTTTCTACCTGAGGACTCCCCCTTCACTAAGGTCCCTCTTAGGGTACAAGTTACTATTCCCCACTCACATGGATGACTTGGAACAGAGCATTGCCCTCTCATCCCCAGCCTCTCAGTCTAAGGGTTCTGAGGGTAAAGATCCCTGTCCATTCCACCCCTCCCCCAGCTTACAGGTCATAAAAGGCCATATGGTGTTTTCTTTCTCTCCCTGAGATGGAGTAGGGCCATGGTCCCCCCTCCCCCTCAAAGGGAGTTCCCTGAGGTTGGGCACCCAAATACTTACATTGGGGCCCTACCAGGCAGCTGAGCTGGCTGAGCAGCAGCGCTGTGAGCATGAGCGTGAACAGGCAGCAACCTAATGGAGATCCAGAACCAGATCAAGAGTGACCTGCTGACTGAGAACCCTCAGGTTGCCCAACATCCTATGGCTCCCACACGGGTCCTGCCCTATTGCTGGAAGGCATGACTCCAGGAGCTGGCTGCCATCAGGAAAGTCAAGAGGTACAACGCCTTGAGAAGGAGGCACAGCACCAGCAGAAAAAGCACTGGATACCAAAGAAAGCCAGACTCTACTGCATGCCAAGCAGCACGGGAGCTAAGAAGAGCAGGAGAGGAATTGTGCGCTGAATTTCAGAGGGGCTAGGTCTTTCAACCAGCAAGCTGGCTAAGGAGCAAAAAGCCCAGTGAGTTCTAGGGTGGTATAATGGATAAATGCCAAGGGAGGTGAGGATAGGTAGCGAGGACCAGGGAGAGGGAAAGCACATCAGTTGAGGCCTCTGGATTTCTTCACAGGCAGAATTATCTGAATTCAATAATCTACACCAATCAACCTACAGCCCGATATTACCAACAGTTCAACACCAGTAGCCGCTGAGCTCCAGGATAGTTCTCTCTCTTTTACCCCATCAAGCTCACAGATGCCTAGAGTCAAAGAGAAAATGCTACATACCCCCACCTTCTACCTAGGTAATAAAGTTATTCACCAAAATCAAGGCCATGTGTTATAACTGGACACAAAGAGTGTGAGTACTGCCTTTCCTACTCTACCCTGGGCTCTGAGCATCCAACCCTATCAGAGAGCTTCACCTTTTTCCCCATGCCAGGTCCCCCAGCACACAACACTGCCCCACCCTGTGGGAACAGAGGCTTTATTAGGCACAGAGGATGACTGGTAAACGTTACAAAATGGCTACTAGGCTTCCTCCTGAGCTGGAGAGTAGTATCCCAAAGGAAGGTAGGGCAGAGGAGTGTGTTTTCTCTGCTTCTCCCTTCAAGGTTGCAAGCGGATGCCCATCCAGCGCGATGACCTCTCCATTGAGGAATGGGTTCTCGATTGATGGCCTGTACCAGGTGAGATACTAGCAGGTCACCGTCGGCTGGGGAAGGGACCTGCTGGCCAAGAATTGCGTACCTTCTCTGGGAGGTGGTCAGCAGAGGGGTGCCAAATAGGCCTAGACAAGATAGCCAGAGTCAGAGACCCACCCTTGTTTCATAGTTACCCAGTCCTTCCTCACTTTAGCCCTACGTCTTGGTGCTTCCCTGGGCGCCAGAGGTGAAAGGCTGCTGTTGCTGAGGCAGTGGATACTTTCCCTCTCAATTGCCCCACGATCCACCCAAATCCATTTGTAACAGGGAAAAGTGGATATGTCTACCTGGAGCAATGGCATCACCCGAATGCCTATGGGAGCCGATCCGAGCAATAGGCAGTGTCATGGCCCACTATGCCCCTTGGAAGCAGAGTATGCAGCTTGTCCAACCTGGAGGAGGAGCGGAGATCATAGATGGAAGTACCACAACAAGTCACTGAGGAGCACAAGCTTTGTCCTTGCTTACACACCTGGCCTTCGAAGGCAGCTACACTGGCAGTGTTGATGATGACCCCACGTTGGCCTCCCTGGTCTGGTTCATTCTGGCCCATCTCACCAGCCCTAGGCGGATCACATTGAAGGTACCCATGGAGTCACCTGAAGGACAGGTACAGCATGGTGTAGGACCTGAGGCAGAGGCAGCTTCTGTCCCCTAAAAGCTTTGGGCCACCACAGCTAGCCACCTCTTACTCCTACCCCTGGGAACCCTCCAAGGCTTACTTACATTGAGGAACTCGCTGGAAGTCCCCAAGGTATGGGCTTGGCTCTTCTTTAAGTTGTATGTCTTGATGCCACTGCAATACCTGCACAGTGACAGCCACATCCACGGCGGCAAATTTTTCTTTGCTAGAGTCAGGCTGCTGGCAGTCGCTCCCGAGGTCACCTTCAAGGGAGCAGGTGGAGAGGTATTAATCTCCCAGCACACCCTCCCACTTTAAAACGCTGGTGGGAGGGGAGGCAGACCCAGTGAGAACAGGAAGAGGCCAAGAGAAAGGTTTGTAAAACTTAGAGAGAGTGAGCACAGGTGAAAACGTTACGTACTTCTTTTGATAATTAATGCCCCTGGAGATCTCAGTTGCCTGTGGATCAAGCACTAATAACACCTTGTTGTGAGAAATATTGAATAGGAAAATAAACTAGCTTTTTTTGTATCTTACTCTCCCAGATGATTTAATCCAAACTTTATTCCTATAACTTTGGTATCATATAAAGCTTTTGGCTTGTAAATATAAAGCAGTAGGGCACAATATGCATTTGCAACCATCTATATCCTTCGAGATTATGTTATTCCAATCCCCATGCTCACTGTTGTGAGTCCTGGGCTTCAGAGGAATCCTTATCGCAGGTGGTTCAGACAGTCGCTTGAAGGCTCAGGAAAAGGGACAAGGGGCGTCCACACCCAACAGAAGACAAACTTATGAGAAGGACCCACTGCTTCCCAGGCCGGTGTTGGGAACCTCCATGCAGTACCCTGACTGCAGCACCCTGAGAGAGGGAGGCGACCGCCACTTACATCGGCTGGACAAACCCAGCTCTTCCCTAATTGGCTGGCCTCCCCATCCGCCGCTTTAGGGCCAAGATCCAAAGCAGCAGCAGCCCCTGCCACCAGTCCGCTCCGCTGTGGCCACCAGGTGGGCTCGCTCGTATTACTGGCACCACCCTTAAGAGACACACAGCCGTAACCCCAGACTAACCACACCTTTCACCTGCCTGTGCGGGCTTGAAAAGGGGTGGGGGCGTGTCCTGGTAGCTCTGCAGTGTGACCGCCAGTGGTGCTTCCCACAAGGATGGACCTGCTGGAAAGGCGTTTCACCCACACAGCCGTTCGGTTACCCAATACTCGTGCCGCGGAGTGTTGACTTTCCTCCCGAGCCCAACGTCAAAATCAGGACTAGATAAGCAAAATTTCTTCCCGGCAACTGATCTTTCCCCCCTACATTCCACGGCCGTGCTGTTCCCAGCCTGTGCAAAAAAAAAAGGGCAGCAGCAGAGGCAAGGAGCCGCATACTCACCTTCGGAATCCGCACACCCCGCACTTGCCCCACCTTCCCACAGAAGGCTGGCAGGGCCTGCTGATTGGCCAGGGCTGGGCGCGGTCCGACGAGTGGCGTCTGTTGCGCAGGGCGTAGGGCGTTACTGCTGTTTGTGTCCCCGCCGACTAGGGGCGATTTGTATAAGGTGTCCCGAGGTATTTTCATCTCGGGAAGAACGCCGATAGCAGCAGCCAGCAGTACCACCACACCCTCCACCCCCCCCCACCACCCCCCCCCCCCCTACTTCATAGCTGGCGCTTTTGGCAAGTGCCAGCTCCCGCGTGGGCGGGGATCTGGAAAGTTGACAGTGATCCTTTTCTCCTCAGAAAAAAGCTTCCAGGCCAGGCGCTGTGCTCACACCGTAATCCTAGCACTTTGGGAGGCCTAGGCGGCAGCCGGGCATAGTGGCACATGCATGTAGACCCAGCTACTCAGGAGGCTGAGGCAGGATTGCTTGAGGCCAGGAGTTTGAGGTTGCTGTGAGCTGGGCTGCTGCCACGGCACTCTAGCCTGGGCAACAGAGTGAGACTCTGTCTCAAAAAAGAAAGAAAGAAGGAAACACATGAAAAGATATGAAAACTCATTGGCAATAAGGAAAATTCCAATTAAAATCAGTAATTATAAGTTTATACCCACAAATTGGCAAAAATGTAAAAATCTGCTATACCAAATGTTAGTGAGGATATGGAGTGACTGGAATTTTTATACACTATTGTGAAAGTGTAAATTGTTACAATCTCTTTGGAAAACAACTTAGCATTATCTTGTAAAGTTAAATATGCATATACTCTATGATCCAGCACTTCCACACCTAGGTATATACTAGAAAAACTTTCCCACCTGTGTATACTGTGTATATAAATCTCTTTTAATCTACAGGTTCCTATTTTTCTCTTGCAATTAAAAAAATTAACTGGGTTGTTTGTCCTGCAGTCCTAGTCTCTCTTGAACCTACTTCTATCAGGCTTTCATCCCCATACTCCTCCAAAAATGATCTTGTCGAGGTCCTCAGCTACCCTCATGTTACTAAATCATTTAATTCTCAGTCTTCATCTTAATCCAGTCTCTCCTCCCAAAAGCACCTTTTTTTTTCTTTGAGACCAAGTCTTGCTCTGTCACCTGAGCTAAAGTACTGTGCCATCATCATAGCTCACTACAACCTCAAACTCCTGGGTTCAAGCGATCCTTCCGCCCCAGCCTCCCAAGTACCTGGGACTATGGGCATGTGCCACCACGCCTGTACAAAAGTACTTTCTTTACTTGGCTTCTTGGACACTACACTCTCTTGGTTTTTCTCCCACCTCACTGGCCACTCCTTAGCCTCCTATACTGGCTCCTCCTCTCCTTGTCTCACCTGGGACATTCCTATCCATATACACTCACTTCCTTAGAGATCTTATACAGTCTCATAGCTTTAAATTATTTTGTGTCAGGATAGGCTGAATTATGACGAGGTTACAAACAACCCAAAAATGTCAATAGTTTTTTAAAAAGCTTTATTTCTCACTCATGCTTCTTGTCCATTGCGGGCTGGCTGCATCTCTGCTCTATGTCATCATTCCAGGACCCAGGCTGAAGGAGCAGATCTTACCAATGAGACATTGCCAGTCTCATTCATAGCAGAGAGTGAAGAGAAAAAGTGGCAATCATTTAATGGTTCTTAGTTCTTCCTGAGAGTGGCACATGTCAATTCTCCTCACATTGCAGGGGCAAAGCAAATCACATGGCTAACCTCAAGGGCAGTGAGATAGAGATGTATGATCCTTCCATAGGGAGGAGCAGCACATATTTTTTAACAATAATAAAATTTACCATATCAACTTCAGAGTCCAGCCTGAAGTTGGGGCCTGGTGGCTTCCCCCACCTCATCCCAAGGCTCCCTGGGAACTCTTCTCAGGGGCAGCCCTCAGGTGCTCACAGCTCTGCACAGCCTCTTTTCACAGGCTGCTTTCTCTGCAAAATCTGTCTTGTCCCTGCAGTCCCTCCCCTCCCCTTCCCTACTCCCCTCCATAAGGCCTACTTGGGGCTCAGATTGTGCATTCAGTTAGGACAACTTAGGGCCACCCACTGAGGAAACCCCCTTCCCCACAACCAGCCTTCGCTTCAGCTTCCTGATCCATGTTCTGGCCTCCATGAGGTCCCTACTTCTCCCATTGTCCACAGTGTCCCCCTACTCCCTACCCCCAGCCTGTGCTTCCCCTCTTTGATGCCAACTAGTCTTGAGCTCGTCAGACAGGCAGGACCAACAAACAAGAGGGCTCTTCTTTCCCTGGTAGCCAGAGCCTTGCCATCCTCAGCCTTGCCAGCCTCTTCTGAACTCAGTAGGCAGAAGGGATCAGGGTCTTCCTGGGCAATCTGGGAACTCACCCTGCTGTGGCTTATGCAAGACCCAGGGGACTGACCCAGGGCTGGCCAATGCCCATCAGAGTAGAACCAGCAAGCCAGGTTATTTTGAGCGCAACCTTGAACTTAGATAGAACATTCGCTGG